CGTCCCCGCACTCGACATCGAAGCGGAAATGGGAGAAAGCCACGGGGCCAGCGCCGGGCTCGCGGGCCAGCAGGTACCAGGCCCGCTCGTCCCGCAGCTCCTCCCGCTTCTCCCTCTCCTTCCAGCCCCACTCGCTCTGCTCGTACCTGGGGTGGGGGCAAAAACGGGATTGGGGGTGAATAAAACGGGGATTGGGGGTGAAGGAATGGGATTTGGGGGGAAAACAAGGGGTTTGGGGTGAAAAAAACCCCCCAGGGTTTGGGGTGAATGAAATGAGGATTGGGGTAAAAAATACCAGATGTCAGGAAAAAAAAAAAAAGATTGGGGGTTTGGGGGTAAAAAGTGGGGTTTGGGGTGAAAAAATGGGGTTTGGGGTAAAAAAAAGAAAACAAACTGGGGTTTGGGGGGAAAAGCACCCAGCATTTAGGGGAAAGCACGGCAAGAATTAAGGTGGGAAATCTAAATCACAGGAAACAAGGAAAATCACAAGGTGAGGGGAACAACCAAACCCTGGTGATTTGGGGGTGGGAGAATCCACCCATTTTGGGTTAGGAAAACCCATCAGTTTCTGGAGGAAAAGGCAGCAAAACCCCCAGAATTCCAGGAGGAAAAGGCAAAAAAATCCCCAGCACGATTCTGGGGGACACCGCCCTTCCCTGCCAAGTTTTGGGTGCCGAAATTCCCGGAAATCCTGGCAGCAAAAACCTGCTGGGATTTGGGATTGGGGGAGCAAAGGGTGATACAGGGGACAGGGGACAGGGGACACTCACAGGCTCTGCATGTTGGCCTTGGTCAGCTCAAAGGCCCAGTCCAGGGTGGACGGCTCCAGGCCCGACACGCGGCGACACTCGATGGACACGTTCAGGCTGTGGGACAGACAGAGGGACACGGAGGTGACACCAGGGACACGCTGGGGGACACCGGGAATGTGACACAGGCACCAGGAACGGCCTCGGGGACACCCCAGAGCGGCCTTGGGGACACTGGGAACGGCCTCAGGAACACCAGGAAGATACCGGGGACATTGTGGGGACACCAAAGTAACCTCGGGAAACCCAGGAACGCTCTGAGGACACTGTGAGCAGCCCTGGGGACACCAGGATCATTCTAAGGACACCCAGAGTGGCCTTGGGGACACTCTGGGGACATCAGGAACGGCCTTGGGGACACCAGGAACACTCTGGGGACACGAGGAACACTCTGGGGATGCTGTGAGCAGCCCTGGGGACAGCAGGAACACTCGGGGGACACCAGGAACATTCTAAGGACACCCAGAGTGGCCTTGGGGACACCCTGGGGACACTGGGAATGGCCTCAGGAAGCCCAGGAAGACACTGGGGACACTATGGGGACACCAGGAACACTCTGGGGACGCTGTGAGCAGCCCTGGGGACAGCAGGAATGGCCTTGGGGACACGAGGAATGGCCTTGGGGACACGAGGAACACCCTGGGGACAGCAGGAACACCCTGGGGACAGCAGGAATGGCCTTGGGGACACCAGGAATGGCCTTGGGGACAGCAGGAACACCCTGGGGACAGCAGGAATGGCCTTGGGGACAGCAGGAACACTCTGGGGACACCACGCCCAGCCCTGCACTCACCCGTTCCTGTCGTACTTTTTGAACACCGGGAAGGCCTCGAGGGGATCTTGGAGCTGGAAGAGACCAAAGAGCGGCCGAGCGCCAGCGGGGTCGCGGGGCTGTCACCAATTCCGGCCTTTTTGGCCCCAAATTTTTTGTTTGCCACACTCACTTTGTTGGCGGCCTCCACCTTGGCACACACGGCGGCCATGGCCGCGCGCTCCTCCAGCCGCCGCTGCTTCTTCTCCTTGGCTTTGCTCGACTTCCTCTGGGGTAAAAAAAAAAATAAAAATGCACCAAAACCCCGGGAATCGGCACCAAAACCCCGCGAATCGGCATCAAAACCCCGCGAATCGGCATCAAAACCCCGCGAATCGGCACCAAATCCCAGCCGCTCCCCACCAGCAGCAAAGCTCTGCCCTCCGGCCACCCTCAAAATTCTGCCCCAAAACAATCGGCAATAATTAAATGGTCAGCGTGGAGCGGTGTGAGGAGAGAGGTCGTGCCAAAATCTTTGGGGAGAATGGAGTTTCGGCGATAAAAATCAAAGTTAAATTTTCAGTACGGCCGGGGGAGTGCTGCCGCTGATCCAGTTTGAAGGAGTTTTGCCCCCAAAATCTTGGGGGGTTTTAGGTGGGACAAGGAGCAGCCAAGTAAAATTGTTACTTTGGAGTGGTTTTCCCCACATTGAAGGAGATTGGCACTAAAACTCAGGGAGATTTTATCCAAAATGAATTTTTACGCCCTGATCCCGGGGATTCCTGAGCTTCTGCTCCACCAAAACTGAGCGAAGTGCACCCAAAAACCAAAGATTTGACGGGAAAAGCAGCGGGTTGGGGAAGGGAACAGGGTGAGTGTCCCTCAAAAATTCATCTGGCAGCGGGTTTGGGGAGGAATCGAGGTGTTTTGGGGGAATTCAGGTGGTTTTGGGGGGAATTGGAGCAGCCACCACCTGCTGCTGGATGCTAAAATCTCCACTTTAGAGTCACTTTGGGAGGAGAGCACAGAAATTTCCCAGCAGTTGGGATTCATGGATGGATGGGACATCGTGCGAGGTGTCTGGGGGAGCACAAACCCATCTCAGAGACTCCCAAATCCCCCCTCAAATCCCCTCATCAACCCCCTCCACACAGCCCCGAGACCCCCAAATTGTCTAAAACGGCCCCAAAATCCACTCGGGGAGCCTCAAATCCACGCAGAAAATCACACGTTTCGCCGTGGAAACCTCAAATTCTCTTAAAAGGTTCTAAAACCCTCACAGAAGCCCCGACAGCCTCAGATAACCCCAAACATCCCAAATTTCCTCAGAGCACCATCCAGATCCCTCGCAGAACCACAAGTATTCTAAGAGCCCCAAAGGAGCTCAGACAACCCCAAAACCTCACGGAAAGTCCCAAATCTCCACACAGGACCCCCTAGTTCTCTCACAGAACCCCAAATCCCCAAGAAGGGTCCCAAACCCCCCCACGGCAGCCCTGTATCACCCCAAAGAGCCTCCTCATCCTCTGAGACGGTCCCAAACGCCCTCACAGAATCCCCGTAAAGCCTCGCGGCGTCCCCCCACCCTCTCAGACGACCCCAAATTCCCCGGCAGAACTCCCGTATCCCCTCGCGGCGATCCTCCACCCGTTCAGGCGGCCCCAAATCCGCTCAGCGGCGCCTCGCAGGCCCCACCCCCGCCCCTCTTTCCCCTCAGGCCGAGCCCCCCCGGGCACGGCGCGGCCCCGCTCACCCCCATAATGGCGGCGGCGGCGGCTCCTCACGGCGCGGGGGGCGCGGGGGGTCTGAGGGGGCGCGCGCGGGGGGCGCGCTATTTATACGGGGGGGGGGCGGGAGGGGGAGGAGCGCGAAGCGCGCGAGCCGGCGGCCGGCGGCCAATGCGCAGGCGCGGACGGGAAAGGGGCGGGACCAGAGAGGCGGTGGCGCGGGCGGGGCTGCGGCGAGTGCGCGAAAGAGGAGCGGGAAGGGCGGGGGGAGCGGGCGCGTGGCGGCGGCGCGGGGCGCGAAGGCGGCTCGGCGCTGATTGGCTGAGAGCGGAGAGGGCGGGAACGAGGGAGGCCACGCCCAGTGCGCTGAGGGGAGCGGGGCCGCCATTGTGGGACCGAGGGGCGCAGAGAGCCCGGTACGGCCCTAAACGGGCACAAGAGAGTCCGGTACGGCCCTAAACCGGTACAAGAGAGCCCGGTACGGCCCTAAACGGGCACAAGAGATCCCGGTACGGCCCTAAACGGGTACAAGAGAGTCCGGTACAGCCCCACAGATCCTGGTACGGCCCTAAACGGGCACAAGAGATCCCGGTACGGCCCTAAACCGGCACAAGAGAGCCCGGTACGGCCCTAAACCGGTACAAGAGATCCCGGTACAGCCCCACAGATCCTGGTACAGCCCTAAACCGGCACAACAGACCCTAGTACAGCCCCACAGCCCCCAGTATGGACTGACAGACTCCAGTTGGCCCCATAGCCCTCAGCCCACCCCATAATCCTGCCCCATAGCCAAAGCCTACAGCCTGGCCCCATGGTCCTTGGGCTGCCCCATGGCCTTACTGAGAGTCCCTGGGCCACCCCACAGCCCTGCCCCATAGCCGGGATCCAGCCCCACGCTCTCCCTTCCCGCAATGGGGTCACCCCACAGGACCCAGTGGGGCACCCCCAGGCGGAAGGGGGGTCCCGGGGGTGTGGGGCAGCCCCAGGACGTGTGATGGAGGGCGGAGATCCCCATGGGACCCACAGCCCCACACGGGGACAGACCCCAGCCCCACATGAGGACAGACCGCAGCCCACAGCTGCCCCACACAGGGAGAGACCCCAGCCCCACACGGGGACAGACCCCAGCCCCACAGCACCCCCCTGACGCCCCCAGCCCTTTTATGCCCCCGCTGCCGCCCCTTTGTTGCCCTTTTCCCCCCAGCCCGAGGCTCCCAGCCCCGCTCGCCCCCCGGGAGGCGCGGAGGGCTACGGGGGGCGGGGGGCCCGTGCTGAGGCCGCGGGAGCTGGAACTACTTTGGCACCGGGAGGCGGCGGCAGCGGCCGGCGGCGCTTTGTGCGGCCTGGGCGGGCTCGGGACCCCCGGCACGGCCCCCCCGGCCGCGACCCCTCCCCTAAACCCGCCGGGCTTCACCCGCTCCGGGGGTGCTCCTCCTTTTTTTTTTTTTTTTGGGGGGGGGGGGAGGGACCTTCCCGTTCTCCGCGCGTCCGCCCCAAAACCTCGCCAAATTCCCACGCCCCCCTCCCCAAAAAGCGCCGCGCTCGGGTTAAAGTTTGGCGGGGGGGAGCCGGGGCCGAGCCCCTCCCCCGCGGGGACCCTCGGGGGGGTTCCCCATCTCCCCCCTCCCCACCGGCACCCCGGGCGATGCCGTCGGTGATGGAGAAGCCCTCGGGGATCCTGTCCCGCAGCCGGGCCAAGGCGGGGGGCGCCGCGGGACCCCCCCACTCTGAGGACGAGGCCAGCGAGGACGAGC